ATAAAAGGTTGAATAAAACAAAAATGTTGGTGGTAATTTTTGACTGTGTAACTTCACAAACAGCAGCCCGTATCAGCTCCAGTGTTTGTAACATGAAGCATTTCTTGTTTTCTCAGGTGAAGAGTGTGTTGTTGCTTGTTTTTGTTGTTTTATTTGTGCTGTGGTGTCTTTTTCTGTTCGTCAGTAAGATTCTATTAACGATTTCCTTKTTTTTTCCTCACGTTTTTTCCGTATAAAAACCCCTCGTTTTTGTCTGCTAGATAAAATACAAGGACTGTATGGGTCGAGGCACAGCTATACCGGACCTACCAGAGGTGAAGCGGGTCAGAGAAACCCAGAAGCACATCAGCTCGGTAGTGGAACAGAGCCGACCCATGTGTGCTCTTTAACATTTGAGAGTGGATAAAATCTCTTTATAATTCCCTTTTTTCTGCTGTCTCTCTCCTCCTCTCTGCCTCTTCTTATCTTTAAGGCTCAGAATAAAGTTTCCTGAGATCCACCCTGTCATCATCATCATCATTCTGCTCTAATCTTCATCCATCTTTCTTTTTTTTAATCTTTAGCTGGCTGTAATCCCCTCTAACCCACAGTCCAGCTTTCTTCACATAAATCTACAATCTGCTAACTTTAATTCAACTTTCAGCAAATGACAAAAATCCTTCTYAGCTCTGAGAAATGTTTGTCTGTTTGTTCCAACAAATAACCTGCAGCCACCAGGACAAACCCTTCTGTAGGACACGTTACTCACATCTCCAGGAGTCTGCACGTCACTTTTTCATCTTTGTTTTTTAAAGAACAAGCCTGAAGAAACCAAATAAAGTGAAAGCAGTCGTATAGATGTGTGGTTCTGATGGTTTTAAAGTGTCTCACTGTCCCCTCGGGGGGCTGTGTCTCTGTCCTCCAGGTGTTGTATAAGGACAGTTCAGTCAAAGGAACCCCAGTGGTGTTCACTCCAGAGATGGAGCGAGTCAAACGGAACCAGGAGAACATTAGCTCGGTACCTTCTGAATACTTAAAGTTCATCCTAAAACAAACAAAAATAACTTTCATTTCTTCCCTTTAACCTTATCCTAACTGATCCCCGTTCTTCTTAATCGTATTAATTATCCTGAATGCARTCTTTTTTAATAAAAGTTCAGTTTAATCCCACCAGCTGTGGTGTCCCATCATCACTGCTAACCTCTTCTGTTCTTCACACTGCTCTTCTTCATCGTTTTCTCTCCCCCTGAGGACCGCAGTGTAACTTTGTGTCATCTAACTCTTCAGCCTCTGATTAATAAGAATAATAAACATAAGTGTCTCCCTGCTAATTCATTTGTCTGACATGTCATTAATGATCCAGCAGCTTTAAGAGTTCAGAGTTATCACAGCCTCTGTTGTAACTCTCACCTGTCCCCTCCAGGTGTTGTACTCTGACAGCTTCCGAAGGCAGGTGCAGGGCAAGGCCGCCTTCGTCCTGGACACACCTGAGATGAGACGCGTCAGGGAGACTCAGAGGATCATTTCTGGGGTCAGTGCTTTGGAATTYGCTGCATCTCTATAATTACTCTCTATTTTCTTAGACACAGGGCAGACCGGGGACAGTAGCAACAAGGGACGGTTGCAACAGGTCATTTGTCTCCAAACAGAAACAGAGTGATGACACTCACAC